GCCAGTGGGTATTGCTGTTTGTGTCAATGCTGCCTACTGGCCATTTTTCGGCTTCCATGATGCCAGATTCCCCCCCCCCCTCCGAGCAGTTCTGTTGACAGTAGCAGGTAAGAGAAAATAACTAATGATTGGCATCCTCTGCCAAATACCAGGTCATCTTCATCTATTGAGGCCCCATACCCAAAATGGATGTTGAAGTGCCTTTAATGCCATAATGGACACTCAGCTGGTGGAGACACCCTGACATTAAGTCAATCACCAGATATTTTCTTCTAGTCTTTTTAAGAAGGTGGTGGTGCATAGCAGAGTAGAGACTGAGCTTTAAATCAAAAGGCCTTGGTTCAGATCTTGTCTCTGCTGGGAATTAACTGGGTGGTCTTAGGCAAACCTCTCTCTCTTTGTCAGCCCCCACTTCTGTGGGAGAAACCAAGGCTCAATGGTGGAGTCAAAGGTCCTAGGTTCAGTCCTCAGCATCTCTAGATAAAGGATCTTATGTGTCAGGCTCAGTCATCCTTTAGAGCTTGTAGCGATCTTGATGGACCAATCATCAGACCCCAAAATGAGGCAGTCCAAGGTGAAAAAGGATGTGTATGTGCTGACTGGGCATGGCTGGAGGATTTTCCCCCTCTCTCCATTTGCACCACTGTTCAAACTTTGGGCTGGAAGATCTATGTGCTGTTCTATCCAAGACAGCAAACAGATGAAAGCTTTAACTTTTTCTTTTTCTGTTCTTTCACACATGGGAAAAACTTTCACATAATAAAGGAGACCTTGAGCACAAATCAGCCTTTTTAATGGGGCCTCGTAAAAGATGCAGGCCTGCTTATAGAACAGCTCTCGTTAGCTGCTTCCAATTCTGGTGAGATGGGGGGGCCCCTCCGTCTGCACGACAGCGAGAGCCGTCTCCTCTTGGACGCTTGCCTGCGGTTCCGAGGTTCCCTTTGGGAACCGTCTGCGTGCAGAAAAACTGAGCTGAGTTTCATCCTGTTTCTGAAGAGATGGCCAAAGAAATTGTATTTTGTTCCCTCCCACCTCCTTTGATGTGATTGGCAACCAGAGGCCCTGGGCCAAATTGGCCTCCAGAGGGATATTGTTAGGGATCTCCATTTGACAGCCTAAAGAGAATAAAAATAAAAAGGAGTTTCAGGAATGACAATGTATCTGGCCCTTTGGAAGATGTAGGTTGGGACACTGGCCCACCTCCCCTCAAAATAGCCCTCTGGTAACAAGAGCTCCTGGTTAGTTTGTGTGTACGTGATACATCAGATGCATGCTCACTGCATATGGGGGTTACTGCTGGACCCTAGCTTCATTCTCACATCTCTTTATTAACTCTTGCATTTATGTGCTAATTTGCTGCCGTCCATTGATCTTGCCAGCCACCTGATCTGATTTCAGCTCTGCATATGCATCTTGGCTCTGAGTGGCCCCTCTGAATGGTTGCCTCCCACCCTCTTTTTCCCTGTAAGTAACCCCTGAGGAGATTTTATTCCAATTTGTCTGAAGAAGTGTGCTTTGTACACAAAAGCTTACACTTTGAATAAAACTTTGTCAGTCTAAAAGGTGCCACTGGACTCAAAGTGTGTTCTGTATATGTGTGTTAGGTATGCTGCTATGGCTGTAATAATACTGTGTTTTAAAATGTGTACCCCTGAATAAATTTTGTATTTTCATAATATTTAGTGTCAGCTTAACCCTTGTGGATCCATAGCAACTTTTTGGGTTGAGTTTTCTCCCCCCTCCCCGTTTTTCCTTCCCCCTTCCCTTCCTTTTTGTAATAATACTGTCCCATCTTGCAGGCTTATTATAAAGCTAACCGAGAAACTGTATGCCATATTGTTTAACCTCATAGGAGAGGTGGTGTTAGCGGTGGTGTACAGAAGAAAAATCTGTACGCCTTTTTGCTGAGCTCTGTCATTAACCAAACCAGCTGCACTGGAAAGTGTCCCTGGCAGTGTAGCATGCATACGTGTGCATGACAGTTAATTCTCAAGCTGCCTGAGGCCGGGACCCCCCCCCCCCCAGTTTGCTCTTGCATGGACTCTGTGTGTGTAATCCTGCAGTGTGGTTTACACTGCTTGAGTACAGTGGTTAGAATGTTAGGCCAGGACTAAGGAGACTTGGGTTCAAATTCTCCCTCTGCCTTGAAGTTTACTGGATAGCCAGTCACTCCCAGAACTGGGAAGCCTTACAGGGTTTTTGTGAAGATAAAACGGAAGAGGGGAGAGTGACGTTTTGAGGTTCTTGGGGGAGGAAGGGCTGGGATAAAAATATGATACATTTGTCTTTGGAAATGGGAGTTGGACTATCCCAATAAGTTGGGAGTTGGGACCCAGAAGGGAGTCAGGGCTCGCTCACAAGTGGGTCGTGGGGCGGGGCCTAGAGGGAGGAGGTAGAACAGGCTGAGTTGGCAAAAGGGACTCCATGGCAGATTTGGGTTTGTTTCTATGCAGTATCTGTCATGATCATTTTGCTCAGCTTGTTGTTCAGGAGTACTCTATAAACAATAATAAAGAAAATAAAGTATCAGTTAACACTGCATAACTTTATGTGAGATTTGTGGTGTTTTATTTGGGGGGAGCAGCATGGAATTGTTTTGTAAGTTGGGTGTCAAAAACTACAGTAAGTTTAGAAGTGGGGCTGGCTTCAGCACAGGAGAAGTTTCCCCAATTTGGACTCTGGATGGTAAAATGCGTTGGCATCCCAAGAGAGCAGCAGCCTCTTTAAGAAGTGGAATGGGGACTCCTTATGGGTGAGTAACCGATTAGCGCTGGATTGCAAAGGGCCTGTAATACGGTTTGGCATGAGCAACAGCCGTGCCTTTAAAAAAAAACTTCACACACCCCCAACAACCCCGAGGAACAGTAAATGAATCACAGATGTACGGAACATCGGCTGGGAATCCAGAAATCCTCCCTTGTCCGTGCTGACCTGCTCCGAGGTCTTGCAACACACCAGGTCCATGGGAATCCTCTTTGTGTTGGCTGCATGTCCAGCGGCCTCTAGTTTTTTCAAGCTAGACAGCACAGGATTTTGTTGTTGTTGTACTTAGAGACTGTTTGGGTTCCAAGCAGGTTTTTTTCATTCTGTTTTAAGTGAAGTTCTTAAAACACACACAGAGACAAACACACTCACAGACACACACACACACACAAAACAGCAGCAGCCTTTGGCTTTTCTTTCTCCAGCAGCTGTTTTTGTTCTGGAAAAGTCATTTCTGCTCCCAGTGCGTTCCTTCAATTTGTAGCTTATGAATTCCAGGAGCAGGCGATATGCCGGCAGCGTCCGCTTAAGGACGTGCGTGCGTGAGAACTGGCGGGATGTGCTATGGGGGCCCTTTCCCCTCCATGGCTCCTGAAGGGGAGATGCAAAGCCTGTTGGCTTTCTCACTCTTCCATGCATCACGAGAACCTAACGTCCAAAGGCAAGGTGTATTTCATGCTTTAGAAAAATAAATTAGTCAGTGACCTTTAAAAATTATGCAAACTAGGGTAATTTACATAATTTGTCCTTTGTTGTAGTGTATTTACAACTATTTCTTGCTGGTGTCATTAATTTTGCTAGGCAGTCTACATAAATCTGTAAACACAGCCATGCTGAATCTGACCAATGGTCTGTTTAGTCCGTTATTCTGTTTCCTGCAGTGGCCAGCTATATGCTGCAGAAAGCCCTTGGGCAGGACACATGGGCAAGAGCCTCCACTTGGTTTTTGCCCCACAGCGACTGGTATTCAGAAGCACACTGCCTCTGATCAAGGAGGTTCCATTTAACCGACATAGCTAACAACCATGACTGACTCCCCCCTCCATGGATTTGTCTAATCCCATTTTGTAGCCATCGCTCCATCTTGTGGCAGTTAGTTCCCCAGGTTAATTGCTCACTGTGGGAAGAAGTACTTCTTTTTGTCTGCCCTGACTCTACTGCTTGTCACCTTTATTGGGTGCCCTGGAATGCTAGAATTTTGCTATCAGGATTCTAGTAAAATGATGCGTGGTATAGAGAAAGTGGACAGAGAGAACATTTTCACCTCTGCATTTTTTCACACATTATTTTATAAACATCTAGTGTGTATGTGTAATCTCATTTTGTGGGTTCTGTTAAGGGCAGAAGGGAATGAAAACAAAGTATAAATGCCTGGATTTTCTGTGTATTTTCCATAGCAATGTGGTCATCTGCCCCCATGCTTGGTTTATAGCTGTTTTGGATTATAGCTGGTCTTGGTTTATAGCTGTTTTTTCTCCCTGGAATTGCCTACCAATGTTCCCTCTAAGCTGTGGAGTCTTGTGAGCAAAATTTCTACTTTGTGAGCCACTGGCATTAAAGCTGTGAGCGAGTGATTTGACTACTGCATCAGTTAGATCTTCTTCGTGGTCTCTGTGCTTCACAGCAATGGGATCTAGTGCGCCTGCGCTGGATCTGCCGGTGCTGTAGCAAGCGCTTTTAATGGATTTTCGCGCCCAGCCCCTCCGCGCATGCGCAGGAGCCCCACTGCGCATGCCCAGAGGGACAGGCGTGGACATCCCGTCAGTTCTTTCCTTACCGCCGCGCTGAGCAGACCTGTTCTTTGATCGGTCTGGTCGGATCGCTGTTTTTGTCGCTTTTTAGCGATTATCTCTTCTTTTTTTCTCTCAGTTTCAGTTTAGTTTCCGTTCCTCTTGTCGTCTTTTTTTTAAAGGAGAATTTTTGTTTTTCGTCGTCTGAGGTAAATTTACCTCAGGCCTTCGGGCCATGCCCCCCCCCCCCGGCCGTTTAGACTTTTCAACGTCTCTCAGTCTATGGAGAAAAAGACTAGGAAAACGAAGAAGTGGGGATTCTTTAATCGCTGCTGAAGCTGCGGTAGTAAATTGGCTCCTCCGGACGGTCACAAGTACTGTATTTTCTGCCTGGGTGAAACCCACAACCCAGACTCCTGTGAACACTGTGCTCAATTTTCGAATCAGACCAGGAAAAATAGAGCAGCACGCTTAAAGGTTTTCCTCCTGGAAAAAGCTCTCCAACCTATGGCGGATCCACTGGTCGCTTCGTCTCTGAATATGTCCTCCGCTACCGACGCATCGGCGCCGAAACAATCGACGTCGAAGGCCAAATCCGTTTCCGATACCGACAGATCGAAATTGAAATGTAAGGTACCAAACGTTCCTTCCACAGCGTCTACCCCTGCTAAAAAGGCCAAGAAGTCCAAGCCTGCGGTGGCGACGCACACGGTGGTCAAGGCTGCGAAGCATGCTAAGAAGGACTTGGGCTCTGTGCCAGCAGTCCCTGCTCTCCCGCCACCGTCGACTACTTCAATACCGACTGGTTCTACACCGAATGACTCGATACCGGTGAACCAGGTCGTGTCTCAGGCTACCGTACTTGTGCTGGTTTCTCCAGACCATCAGGTGGAGACAGCCTTGTCCGATGTCGACCAAATGGATCTCGTAAGTCACCAGTTGGGTGCGGAGTTTTCCCCTGGTCCAACGAGCTCGTCGGCTTCGATCGTCTCAGAGCTGCCCGACACCGATGGCCTTCGGCATCGACACTCAAGATCCAGTGCGGAGCGTCCGCCTCCCTGTTTATTGCCTGAGTCTGTCGATATCGACGCCTTTGATTGTAGAAGAGGCACGTATGCTCTTCCTTCAACTTTCTCCCCGCGACTTCCGAGGTCGAGGAGCCGTTCCCCGAGGTCGTATATGCCACCTCCGATGTC